AGCATCGTAGTCAAGCAGTGTCCCATGGAGACGTCAACCCTCCAGACACACACTCATCACGCAGGTCACTGAGCAAGTACCGAGGACCAAATTGTTCCAAGAGCTGGTCCCAGGCCCTGGTCTGTTCCCAAGCACACTGCAGCTGCTCAGTGAAACATCCAAGGTACTGCAAGGAAAACAAAGCAGGAGAAGAGCCTGGCAAAGGTGTGGTGTCCTCACCAATGGAGATTTTTAAAAACAAGCAGGACGTACTCCATACTGATATAGCTACATAGCTACGTGCATGATGAGTGCTGCAGTGATTTCAACCCCATGTGCCACACAGCAGTTGGGCTGTTTCATGCAGGTAGGAATGGCAAATTGCTGCTGATGTCTCTGCATAAGGTGTGTCCCATTTCACAGTTCCCGCAAACCTCGACAGAACAGCTACATTTTATTGAACATTCTGGTATCATTAAAACAGCTTAAACATTGCTAAAGCTTAAAGCACTGGACAACTTGCAGGGAAGGATGGTAAGTATTCTCCTGAAAATTTCTCTGAATTATTATTAATAGCTTTTAACAATTCTTGGAACAATGGGAAAATCCTTGAGGATTAAGAAAAGAAAAAAAAAACCAAAACCCCCAAAACAACAAGATACTCTCTCTCCTCCTCCAAGAAAAAACCACAACAAAACAAACCTCTAGTGTTGTGCCAATATTCAAAAAATTACAGGCTGCGTGGTCAGTGTAAGTACAGCTTATCAGTCTGAAATCTCCCAGGCAAACCAACAAAATAGTTGACATTAAAGGATATCATAAGTAAAACCAACCAACATGGTTTCACAGAGAACAGTTTTATGTCAATATGATTTTTTAATTAATTACAAGTCTGGGTTTGTCTGCTATTGACATCGTAAATTTCTGTAAGGCGATGTTCTTGGCCCCAGGTTATACAAGTATTGGTGGAGCACATTAAACGCTGTTATTTACTAAAAGAATTGTAAATATGGATTTGTCCTAGAGAATCCCAGAGTCTGCAACTATTTCGCATCTTTATCAAGAATGTTAATGAAATTATAAAACAAATGCAAAGAAAACCTGCAGATTAAAAAAGCTGATGACAAATTAAAGAGATGAAAAGACTGATACAACAAAGTGTTCTGGAAAAGTTGCTCAACAAAAAATACAGTTATTAAGGTCTCTGCTACTGTAATTCTGTGAAATATGTTTTAGAAAAGGCAGATGAGTTTCATCATCTGCTGTCTGGCCTTAAACTCTGTTAATGTGTATTTCTAGAAACAAAGGAAATGGGCCACCAGATGCATTTTTAGAACAATTGAAAAAAGGGCTTAAGAGGGTAAATCGCAAACTGAATGTAAACAGTGTAATGAAGCAGTTGATGAGGAAAAAAAGATGTAGAGAAGAGCAGAGCAACATTATCATTGTATTTTACATAAAACAGACTATTACAGAATACCACAATTGGTTCCTGGTTTGTGTCTCTGGACTTAAAAAGCCAAAAATACACCAATCAATATATAAAATGTCAGCAAGGAACAACAGCAAGAGAAAAAAAAAAAAAAAAAGGAAAAACTGTTTTGACTGAGATTAGCAAGTCTCTTTACCTCATACAGCAAATTATGTATGGAGTTAATTATGACTACAAATATGCAGGAAGAAATTTCTGACAGCGTAAAGCTATTTAAGTTACCAGGACTGAGCAATATGAGATACAAAGGCTGAAATTAAAAAAAGTTCAAATGAGAAGACACAGCAGTTTTAGTGTAACCAATCACTGGAACAAGTATTGAGTGACTAGCTGGTCTCTTTTATCACTTCCCCTCTCCTCAAAACTGGATCTCTTTCTGAATTTGTACTTGCTCAAACAGAATTTATAAGACCAAGGCCAAGTTTGCTGGGGCAATGAGTGGTCCCATCTACAAGAAGGGCCAGAGGGAGGATCTGGGAAACTACAGGCCTGTCAGTTTGACTTTGGTGCTGCGGAAGGTGATGGAGCAGATCATCCCGAGTACCATCACATGGTACATGCACGACAACCAAATGAGCAGGCCCAGTCAGCAGGGGCTTACGAAAGGCTGGTTGATGAATTGGGGTTGTTTGGCCTGGAGAAGAGAAGGCTTCAGAGGCACCTTGTTGTGGCCTTTCAGTATATAAAAGGGGGCTTGTAAGAAAGATGGAGAGGGACTTTTTACCAAGGCCTGTAGTGACAGGACAAGGGAAAATGGTTTTAAACTGATAGAGGTTAGATTTAGATTGGACATAAGGAAGAAATTTTTTACAATGAGGATGGTTACACACTGAAGCAGGTTGCCCAGAGAAGCTGTGGATGCCCCACTGTTGGAAGTGTTCAAGGTCAGGGTGGACTAGATGGTCTTTAAAGGTCCCTTCCAACCCAAATCCTTCTGTAATTCTATATGGTAGAATTTTGACCTGGATTTGCAAAATGTTAGTCCAACTGAACTCTTAAATCTCAAAATGGATTTAACAGAAGACTCATGGGTGCTTCAACAGTAAATCTTAGCATGGTAGGCTGAAGTACAATTAGCTGGTTTTATATGTTATTTACGGCCCTGGATACACATGACGTTGTGAATTCCCCAATTAAAATATGTTCCTTGAGGCTAAATCTTCCTATGCCTTCAGAGCAGTTGAACATTGCTGCAGTCACACTGGGTAGCCCGCCTTAAGTCTGTCTACAGCAGGACGTGGGTGCTCCTGAACAGATCACACTCCTCAAAAGCAGAGGACTGTGCTGGTGCAACAGTGCCACCACCTCTTACCAGCTTAAGACAATCCAGCAAATGATCAGCTGTAACACTGATGCACCATGAATGGACTGTTGGATAATTATTTTTTTCCACATGCCATGTTATGTGGGGGAATATGTTGTCGATGTCACTGTACAAAATCCAAGTGACCACAAAGCATTCATGTCTAGAAAACAAGTCTTGTTAGTAACTTCATAAAGGACAGTAAACAGGACTCTAGACTGAAATCCACTAAGAAAAACCTCCTTTAATTCATGGGTTTATCATGTTGTCCATCTATTGGTTGGGAAGGTAGTAAACATGTATGGTCAAAGTACAGCTGTGTAGAGTGAAGTACTGAGGAGAAATGGTGCAGGCAACTGAACAGCACCAGAGCATGCAGGACAACAAAGTGGGCAGGTTGGGGTGTGTTGTGCAAGTAGGGATGGTACCAACAACACTACACACCAAACAGATAAGAAATTACATTCTCGCACTGGTGACATTTTATTTTGTTGTCTTCTCATCTTGCCCCTCTTACTGCAAACCTTATTCACCCTGCACAGAAGTCCAGGTATTTATACTTTCAGTGCAGCACTGCAACCACACTGACAGCTGGTTCCAAAAGGCAGTGTAACTACTGCACGTAAATCACAACGCAGCACTGCACGCTGACTCACTGCCATACAGGAGTCAATCCCCACGAGAGACAGACCATGCTCAGCTGGGGTCTGCTTTGCTTATTAAATGGGAGAGGCAGTTCTTGAGAACACCCTGGCCATACAGCACTTCCCACTGTCAGGGCCAATGTGATTATTCTGGTAATAACAAACACGTATAAACGAGTCTGTTCACCAGGCACTGCAATGGCTTCCCTGTGAACTTCAGCACCAGCAACTTTGGTAGATGGTGAAAATTCACAGGGAGGTAACATGGAGCCACCTGCCTATTTTCTCACCAGCAAAACTGCAAGGAAAAGGTCAAATTTTGCAACTTCCTGGTACAGTAGGTATTTGGATAACAGAAATTCTGGAGAATCTATTCTCTGAAAGACTTCCTACTAGCTTCTCTGACAACTGCTGCATTTATGGATATTCGCTATGATCCAGCGTTCATGCCAACAAGTGACTTAAAATAATGAACCCTCTTCTTTTGACCTTTTCCACACAGAGAAGCCATTGCTAATATACCTCATTGACACAAAGGAATCAGTATTGAAAAGAAACAGGTGACAGAAGACAACAAAGGTGGCATCTACAGTGCAGAAAAAAGGACAGTATGGGAGCGTGGGCATGACAAAGAACAACAGACTGGCAAGGCAGTTCAGTGGAACCTGGGTTTCAGCGTTAGCAAGACTGCTACTGTAAATATGCGCTGTCTTGCAGTAGGTTTGTTTCCCAGTTGAGTCTGAAACAAGCAGTCTTCAGAGGGCCCATGAAGGCCATCTTATTACATTAGTTACTGGGGGTCTCTAAAAGGCCAGTGAATCTCCAAAAGGTTGGAGAGTATTTATTCCTCACTAGACTGGAAGACCCTCTACCTACATTCAATGCCCAGTCCTACAGAAGACAGATGCTGGGGGAATACTGGGTTCCTGATGATGGTGACAATGATGTCCCACCACTTCCAAGCAGACCAGAGCTGATGTGCTACTGTCTGGTGCTAAGCCTAAACATCAGTGTATGAAGTTGAGACAGCGCCTTGTGCTGGAGCACACACTAGGAAGGTGTCTGCTCTTCCATGGCAGCCTTGCTGACAACAGACAGGACAGTTACAGGGCAAGCTAAAGCCTTTGCATTCTGCACAGCGCTGCTTAGTTTGTGCATACTGTGCAAGAAAGCATTCCCCCCTTAAAGAATCCAAACGCTGTGCTAGTCAGTCCCTTATAGGGAGAACTGCTAAAGAAGAACCCCGATCTCACCCATCAGAGGAAGATGACAAAACAGACAGCTGCTGTACCAGAAACCACTAAACAAGCAACTAATGTGACCCAAACTGAGACTGTAACCAGAGCAGGAACTACGCTGGGTACACTAGCAGTGCCACTGTCCAAGGGAACTACAGGAGAGGCAGCCTCTGTACCACAGCTTTGGTTTGAAGTCTCTCACAACTGACCAGAGGTAACAGTTTCAAAATCAAGGTCACCAAGTAGAACAGAGTCACAGGCCCAAAAGACATTCAGTTACTTATATTAGTGCTGTGGGTTATGAGCCTGACAGAAGTGGGGCTTGTAACTGAAAAGCTTTAGGATTACTCCTTCTCTTCTTCTAGGGATTTACTTCCGGCCTCGCTTGTGGCTGGCTTTTGGAAATTCAGCTCTCTGTGTGACCTGGGACTCCCCTTCCTCACTACTCACACTCGCATTGTCCACCCGCCGTGGACGACCTCTCTTACTTCTCCTCATTTTTTCAACTCCAGCAGTGGGAAGCTTCTTGGCAGCCAGGGTCCCAGTTCTCTTCTTTTTGCCCCGGGTCAAAGGACGTTTCTTCCGTTGCTTCCTCTGCTCTTCTCTTTGGCGGATTTTCATTAGCTTCTCAAAGCTTTTGGTGGTAGTTGTGTTCACATCAAACCAGTCCTAGAGGGTTTAGAAGGCAACAGGTTGGCACTGATAGTGGAAATACCATATAAAGCCTATCAGGGCTCATAATAAAGCTGCCCTGTGAGACAAGGGTTTCTTGAAATGTGAGGTCTGGAAAGGTCTAAGAAAGGTCTGTTCTTCCATGTTCCTCCTCAGGTGTCACTGCCTCTGGGGATCCAGATTTGATTTGGCAATTGCCTGGCTGAAGGCAGGGAAAATGCTGAAGAGCTGAACTGAGCAGTAGCAGCTTGGGTCAAGACATGTGACACGACACAACACTTGCTCCCCACACCAATGTGTAAGACTGGCTACGTTTACGCAAACCAAAAGCCACTTGAGTTCGGGACCCTGTTCCCAGCAATGAGCAATGAAAAAAATAAACAGAGCAAGCATCCAGCATTTCCTTCCCCAGACACCCTCCCCACCTCCAACAACCTGGGATTTGAGGACTTCCATCCTGCCTGCCTTACCTCAGCATGCATGGAGTTGATGTGATACTTGACCCCACTCTCTGAAATGAACTCCTTCTCACACAGGAGACACTTGTATTTACCAGCCACAAAGTCTCCCTGGCACCAAAACAAAAAAATCCATCACCAATTGCTGCCTATAAGGCTGATACACCTATATATTGTATTTGAATCTTGCTCAGATATAACCCAGCAGTAATAAGCAGAAAGTCTATTTGTACCAGACAATGCTTTACCTACAGGAGCACTGATGTTATTGACCAGTTATGCCCACAAAGCATAGGACTGCTCTGTGAGATGCTACAAGGTCACCAGCACTACCTGGAAAAAATGCTCTTGTAGCTGTCAATCTACAGGTAGGACTGCAGTTTCACTAAAATGCATGCCATTAAGATGCCTCCTCCTTGCTTCAAGCAGTGTTTGCAATGGCAACCCTATTAGCACATAGGGAAGCTCTCAAATTGTGATGAACTCAGATTAGCAGATGGCAGGACAACAGCTAAACAAAGAGGTATCTGAGGGACAGGGACAATCAGGCTATTGTTATAAAAGATAGTGAGTACAGGAAGGTTACCAACCAAGGTACACGTGCCGAGGTGAGATTTGAGTCCTGAGACACTGCCATATACAGATTCACAACCCTGAAACAGTAAAAAAAGTGTGTGTCAGCATAACTCAAGTAAGAAATCCCTTCCTCCTGCACAAGAAAGTCTTACTCTCTGGAAGACAATTCCAAAAAGGATAAGAGAGGTAGAGGGAGGGAGGTACTGAGTCCTACAAAGTCAGAAAGCTTCAGGTAAAAAGACAATTAGAAGAGACTTAAGCTTTCAGTGAGCTAAATATTTCCAGTTTCTGAGCACATTTAGACATAATAAACATTCGCCCTCTAACAAAAGCCCGAGTAAAACGATAAGAGTTTGCATTTTGCCTAAGTGCAGCACAGATTAACTTCAAACAAAGCACAGGGGCAAGTACAAGACTCTTCAATCCCTCCTGCCCTGCTCGTTTTCTGGTAGCACAGAGCAGAAGTACTGCACTCGACATCAATGGTCTCACTTAAAGGGCAGCTTTACAGGCCTTCCCCATGTGAACCTTTAGGCGTCAGTCTTGGGACAGCAGATCATGCTTAGCCAACAGCCCAGACCCTGAAACAGCAGGTAGGTGCAAGACATGCCTCTGGGTTACTGGTCAGTTAAACAGGACAGCTGCTTTCTGGGGACAGCTCTACATACAACATTATGTTGCAATTCTTATACTTGGAAATGACACAAGCCTGAAAATTGAAGAGAGTGTGCTGGGTGTGGGTAGGGCAGGGGGAAAGCATTGTCTCCACAACAAACCCAGATGGAAGCCACCACTGACCCTTGGCTATCCAGCAACGTGTGTTATGTGCATCACATCTACCATAGTTTCCACCAACGGAGCCATTTCTTCTCATTGGATCTGACTGGAGATGGCTGCGTGGGATTGCAAGAAACTAAGTGCACGTGCACAAGCATCCCTAGACCAGGATGACCGCCAAGTGTGAGTCTTCTGCAGCCCATTTCCAGCTTTCAAAGTAAAACTGAAGTGCTGCGCCAGACAAAGCCCCTCTACTCTTACATTTCCATCTCTAGTCCACCCTTCTTCTCTAATTAGATTTAGTACACCTGCTAGTCAGGCAGGGGCCTGTCATTTTTCCACTGCTCAGATCTTCAAATGGACCACATCCCAGTTGAATGTGAAAGCTGTACCAGTCTGACAGTAAGTTACTGGCTCTGAAGTGGACAAACACCCACAGAGGGCAACAGTCCAAACAGGGTCTCGGTTAAACCAATCAATCATACTGAGATGGAGAACAATTTGTCTCCCACAGAGAGACAAACTGCAGTTTCACGGTTGTGGAAAGCTCTTGGCTCACACAGACCTGAAATCTGTCCCCTCTGAGGCTTCAGAAACACTCAAGGATTACCTGATTTGGGCAGTGGACTCTTCGGTACATCTTTATCTCCGTTTTCCATTTGCACAGCACATCTTGACTAAATGTTGGCAGTCCAGGACGAGTATATTTCAGCTGAGATAAAGAGATGGAACTGAAAGCTGGAAGCAATGTTGGGGACACATAGTGCCAACTTTGTCCCTTTCACTCCCAGGCTGAGAGACAGAAGTGCTATTTCTTCTCCTACTTTAACAGTCAAACTCTCAATAACCAATCTTTTCCCATCTCACTGACTCTCTGCAAACATAACTGAAGCTGGAAAACCCCCACATGAATGCAAATCCCCCCTACCAGAATCCAAAACTTCCCATAACTTTGACTACAATAATTCCTCCAAATGTACTCACTCCATTAAAATCATAAATCATCCTTTTCTCTTGGGTTTCTCTTACAGTCTACAAGATGCTCCTGGAAATTCTGAAGCCTTAAAAACTATGAAATATCACTGCATGGCAGCAGTGATCTCCAGCCTGTGACTTGTCAGCAACATACTGCCTGTAACTGCCTTCATTACTTATTGCTTTCCATGGGCCACTAAACACTGGCAACACTGGGTACACACCAGTGCAAGACTCAAACCCTATATAGCATTTTAAGGCCTTGTACCTTCCGGTCATCTGGAATCAAGTCCTGCAGAACTTTTCTCTTGGGCCACTCTTTGGCCAGCTCTTCTCCAGCTAGCTCATGGAGATAGTAGATTGCCACCTTTGCAGATCTCCTCTGAACTCTGCCTGTGTTATTTGGCTCTCGTTTTATTTCCTTCAGGCTCTCTGTTCTTCTGTCCTCATGGAGGAAAGTGACCTGCAATGAAGGCCAAAAAAGGTCAGTCTCCTTCAATAGTTCCTATTTCAGTTACACTAAATACTGTGAATAAATATTCTGCTCCATCCTTCCATGAAGCAAAAATCAGCCTGGGGAAAGTTTACTGCCACCATGGTGATTTACTATTAAAAACTTTTCTAGTCACAGAACAGCAACAGCTGCTACTAGAAGTATCAAGGACAGAATACTCCTCAGAGAGAGAGAAAAATGCAAAGATTTTTATCCCTAATTACCCACCCAAGTAGCACATTAAAGCCTACACGTGTCTCAAGTCTGAATGGCTGAAGTACCACCATACTTTCCTGGTAACCATGGCAATCTGCACTTACCGGTCCGTGCTTAGCTCGGAGATGGTAGACAAGTCCTGCCTTTGATTTGTATGCTTTTCCACAGTGATGGCACTTCATAGCCATTTTCTCCAGCTCAGAAGCAGCCTTCCCACATTTTTTAATATGATATAGGTATCCCATTATGCTAGTGAAGCTGCCTGTGCAGCCCTGTCAATGCAGAAGAAAAATGCATGGGAGAGAAATGTTCTCCAAGTGATTACAAGACCACTGTGTACAGAATCCATAGTTAGCGGACCAAAGTACTGTCACTTTTCCTGCCTGACCAGAGACAATCAGGTAGTAAACTTTAATGTCAGTCTATTCAGATATACAAAATCTGGGACAAAGACCTGGCTGCAACTGTGAGACACTGTTTCTCAGAACTTCTTTGTAGGTAGTGGGCAACAGAAAATATATGGAATGTTAACTGAGGATGCACAAAACCAGGATTTTCAGATACAAATGGAGTTATACTTGGTTGGCTGGTCAAACTGTCTAGAACACAGTAATATTTGGGTGATGGCAAATACAACTTTCAGCTATTCCTAAGGTACAGGTATTGTCTCTTGCTGCATAACAAAAACTCCAATGGTTCCTGCAAGTGTCATTTACTAGAATATCTCTTAACCCTGAATCCAGTGATCAACTTGACACTGAGCTTGGAAGCAGGACAAATCAAACATGCATCAGCAATTTTTTTGTGTCCTTAGATGTATCCATCTGCCCTCCATCCCCTTCTCTAGCTGTGGCCAATCTCAATATTTTCAAAAACCCCATCCAAACTCACACAGTTAATTATGCATAAAAACATCTTTCCAGCTATCACAAACAACTAAGAAAAGAGCAGAATTACACATTAATAAAACACACACAGGAAACAACCCAGTATCCTCTTGATGCCGCTTGAAGACATCGACATATCAAATACTCAGAGCTCCACCTGACCCTGCTTTGCAGAGAGGTTGAACCAGATGACCTCAGAAGTTCCCTTCCAGCCTTAACAATTGTGTAATTCTTGTGTCATCTGTGTGAACAGTTTATAATACCGCTGCAAGCTAAAATGGATTATTCTTTAACGCCTTTCTCCCTGGTATTTTCCACTGAATGCATTTATCAAGTTATACCTTTGCTGAATCTACATTTACACATCTAGTTTTAAAAAGTCATTGAAAAACCCCAACCTAGAATAAAAACCAAAAACTCCCTTTTAATCACCCTCTTTTAGAGTTATCCTCTCTAAAAGGGTTTGAATGAGGATCAGACAGTAATCGAAAGTGAACTCCTTTCTAGTGTAAGCAAGACAATGTCACCTAACAAGTCATGTGTGAAGCCCGAAAACAACTAGTTGAGCTAGTTAGTGTTCACCAGACTCCTACTTCCTTTAGTCATGAGGTTATAATCAGGTATCAGTCATTCCAAAATTCATTCTCTAGGCTCAGTGCTTCACAAGCATTTATAGAGGAAATTCTCCAGGCGTCCTAGTAAAGTTGCTCAAGAGACTACTAGACTTGAAGAGGGAAGGAGGTAACATCAGGCTTGCCCATCACAAGCCATGGGACAACACTCCAAGGCTTGAGGAACGGGGTGCTAGCAAGGGCCCTAAGCCTCTTGCTCCAAGATATGCTGGGTACACTGGAGCACATTTGAAGTCTTACCTCAGGGGATCCTGAGCTAATAGGGGCCAAGAGGAAAACACCAGTGAAATACCTCAAAGGAATTAAGGTGTGTTCCTCTACAAAGGTGACAGGGCTGATAGCCCATGGACGCACCATGGGTAACAAACAGGAGGAGCTGGAAGCCATTGTGCTGCTAGAAAGCTATGACCTGGTTGCCATTACTGAGACTTGGTGGGACAAATCCCAAGACTGGAGCACTGCTATCAATGGCTAGATACAAGCTGTTCAGAAGGGACAGGGGAGGAAGGAGATGCAGAGGCATTGCCCTCTACATCAAGAAATGGATAGACTGTGAAGAGCTGTTGCTGCAGAACAGCCATGAGCAGGGTGAAAGCTTATGGGTAAGAATTAAGAGACCAAGGCAACAAAAGGAACCTTGTGGTTTGTGTCTACTACAAACCACCCAATCAAGGGGAGTCTACTGATGAAGCCTTCTTGCTCCAGTTGCAGCAGGCATCTCGCTTGCGTACTCTCATCCTGCTGGGGGACTTCAACCACTCTGACATGTGCTGGAAAAGTAGCATGGCGAGCTGTAGGCAATCCAGGAGACTCCTGGAGTGCAACGAGGATAAATTCTTAGGCCAGGTAATAGACAGTCCTACCAGAGGGGATGTGTTACTGGACCTGTGGGTCACCAATGCAAGTGAGCTAATTGGAGACATCATGACTGGAGGCAGCCTGGGCTGCAGTGATCATGCACTGATGGAGTTCGCAATCCTGAGGGATATAGGACAGGCAAAGACCAAAGTCAAGGCTCTGAATTTTAGGAAAGCAAATTTGCAGCTGTTCAAGGAGTTAGTCAATAGGACCCTCTGAGAAACTGCCCTCAGGAACAAGGGAGCAGAACAGAACTGGCAGGTCATTAATGGTGTTTTCCACAAAGTGCAAGAGCTCTTGATCTCCATGTATAAGAAATCAGGAAAGGAAGGCAAGAGACTGGCATGGCTGAGCTGAGAGTTGAATTGAGACCTGCTGGTCAAACTAAAGGGCAAGAAGACAGTGGAAGCAGGGACAGGTATCCTGGGAAGAGTATAGGGACACTGCCTGGCTGTGTAGGGATGGGGTCAGGAAGGCCAAGGTGTGGCTGGAGCTGAACTTGGCAAGGGATACAAAGAATAACAAGAAGGGCTACTGTAAGTATGTCAGCCAGAAAAGGAAGGTCAAAGAAAGTGTACCCCGCTATGAACACGACTGACAAACTGGTAACAACAGACGAAGATAAGGCTGAGGTGCTCAACAACTTTTTTGCCTCAGTCTTCACTAGCAAGCTCTTTTCCCATACCTCTTGGGTGGATGGACCTCAGGGCAAGGGCTGGGGGACCAAAGTCCTTCCCACAGTAAAAGAAGATCAGATCTGAGACCATCGGAGGAACCTAAATATACAAGAGCCTATGCGACCTGATAAGATGCATCCCAGAGTCCCGAGGGAATTGGCTGATGTAGTTGCCAAGCTGCTCTCCATGATATTTGAAGTCATGACAGCCAGATGAAGTTCCCAGTGACTGGAAAAAGGAAAATATTGCACCTATTTTTGAAAAGGATAGAAAGGAGGATCCTGGGAACTACCGAATTCTCAGCCTCACCTCTGTGCCTGGGAAGATCATGGAACAGATCCTCCTAGAAGCTATGCTAAGAGACAGGAAGAACAGGGAGGTGATTCAAGACAACCAGCATGCCTTTACCAAGGGCAAGCCCTGCCTGACCAACGTAGTGGCCTTCTATGATGGAGTGACTACACCAGTGGACAAGAGCTACAGATGTCATCTATCTGGACTTCTGTGAGGCCTTTGATGTGGTCCCCCACAACATCCTTCTCTAAATTGGAGAGATAGGGATTTGATGGATGAATTATTTGGTAGATAGTCCCTGGTCACATCCATAGAGTAGTGGTCAATGGCTCAATGTCTGGATGGAGATCAGTGATGAGTAGTGTCCCTCAGGGGTCTGTACTGGGACCATTACTGCTTAATATCATCATCAACAACACAGTGGGATTGAGTGCAACCTCAGCAAATTTGCAGCTGACACCAAGCTGAGTGGTGCAGTTAACATGCCTGAGGGATGAGATGCCATTCAGAGGGACCTGGACAAGCTTGAGAAATGGGCCAGTGTGAAGCTCATGAAGTTCAACAAGGCCAAGTGCAAGGTCCTGCACCTGGGTCGGGGCAATCCCCAGTATCAATTCAGGCTGGGTGTGACAGTTTCACTGGGCTAGCCCTTGGCCAGTTCCAACCCAACAGCCGTTCCAACCCAAACCATTCTATGATTCTATGATACTCTGTCTTTAAAGTATATCTAGAATCTTGAAACAAATCCAGCTTTGGCCAGCACCAAAGCATACCCAGCAGAAATCTCATAACATTTTACATTCATGCACCTGCTGCTGTTTAATTCAGGATACTGAGCACAACACAGCTCCTTACCTCCCTCGTACACTTCAGTTTTCCCATACGCTTCAAAACCTTCCGAAGGCGGTCTCGCTCAAGCTGCTCATCCAATTCTCCTCCTTCCTTCACAACTGGCTAAAGCAAAGCAGAAAGGTGAAAGAAAAACATAGGATGCTCAGCATTTACAGTTCTTTTCTCAGAGAATCCAGTACTCAACACACTACTGAAGGAAAGCTTCTATAATAATTAAATCTCTGCAACTTCTGATTTTACAGAAGTGTATCTAATACAGTTATCACTGTCTGTATCCCAGAACAACTGAGTTATCTTTAAAAGGAGTAAATTGCCTGAAAACCACTTTGCAGAGCAGAGTTTTAACATTTAGATATAGCTATCTATGAACAAAACCTTGATAAGATATGGTCCCAAACTACAGCTGCTGGGAAGGACAATAGTTTGTATTTCCATAGTTACTTTTCTCCTCTTCTGCCTGTGGAAAGTACTTACTCATCTCTGTCATGCAACTTTAACGTTTACTGGTCCTACCATTTCCACTTAGCCTAACTAAAGCTAAGCAGACTAACTGCCTGTAACAGTTATTCATATGCTAAACTACAGCTCAAGTTCTTCTCTATTATCTCTCCAATGGTTATTGTATATTTCCTACACTACCTTATAATAATATTACACCTAGACTGAGTAAAAAGTTAGAACTGAGTGACAGACAGACCTATTCCTCAGGGCCAAAGGAATACCTGGCCTATTTCATTTACTAGTATAGCTCTAGGTTCAGAAATCACAGTACTGGGAACTATGTAAAAAATGACAGTGACAAATTATCTAAACCTTACCCAAACTTCCCAATGACCTTTCCAAAAGTTCTAATTCTTCACAACTACAACAGGAGACATTGCCTTCTTTAAAGTAATAGTAAAGAGGAAAAGCAGACTGTAGCATTAGTCTCTTTACAGTAAATAGAGACAAGAACTAAACTGCTGGTTCTGCTTTTTTACCTTTGAACTTGTAAAGAACTGAAATCTAGTCTGCTCTGGATGTAGAAAAACTCTTGCCTTCTAGCAAAGGACTGAAAATTACAGCCTAACAAGCAACCATATATTTTCTGATTGAGAATGCCTTTTATGTGGGATATATAAACACCCTAAACAGAGATTCATTCCCTCTTTCTAAGATGTAGCATACTTGTCACCTCTGGTAACATTCTATTGTTTTTTCAGATGTCAAATCTCACAGGAAAAATAACGGGTAGACAAGATTTGAACAGCTACCACATTTGAAAAAAACACATGTTCTGTTTCTTCGTGCACCAGGGAAGGAACAAAAGACTGTCTTGCCTGTAGGATTTTTATATGCACAGTAGTTGTGTTACCTGATTGTTATGGTCTGCCATGACGTGGTATTTCATCCCTCCTAAAGACTTCAGCTGCTTCCCACAGTGATGACACGTGAACATTTCCTAGAAATAAACAAAGACATGTTGCATGTAACTGCAAATTAACCAAAGCAGTGGGAAACTCTTTTGGGAAAGGAGCAGGAGAACAGAACATTTTATTTGGGCCTGGTAACTGCCCATTAAGAACAGAAGAGATTTTCTGGAGTCTAAAATATAGGGGAACAATGAAATAGCTACTCCTTTGCTCAATACTCCAAACCTCCACCAAAAGGCTAAGCAAGAAGCACCAAGCGCAGCCTCTTACAGGACTCTTGCTTAGAGAAATTATGAGATTAAACTGGTTTTAAACGCAACACAAACCAGTGTGCAGGCATTTCTATCAGTAAGCTGAAAAGGAGTAAAGAAAACATTGCTCATCTCTCATGTTCTTACCTGCCTGCAATTTACCATATGCTTCTTCAGTCCTTCTACAGTCTTTCTCACCACAGCCCGGCATGTTGGACAGGTAACTCGGCCTTTGTCCTGAATTTCCAAAGACCATCGCTCTTCCATACTACCTGTCAAAACAAAAGGCTTGGAATAGAACTGCAAGCACACTATCTTTTTCTCCTTTGACATGCACAATGAATCCTAGAGGGAAACAGGTCACATGCTGCCAAACTCATGTCCAGCTACACTCCAGCTCATTTGCATTCTTAAATATGTCATGTGACAAGGCACACATCACTCCTTTTATAAAAGTTCTTTAATCCTACCAACCCCTTGTGAGGAGTGTTCTTCCACTTATTCAGCAGAGATTTTTCCTTCATTCATTTTTATTATACAACTACTTTAGCACACAGAGTAAAGTTCTCTTTCAGTAAACGGGTTTTCACAGCAAAAGTAGTCACAGATGTGACTGAACGGTTTCTGACAAAGTCCATGGTTCATTTCTAGCCAAATCTTTAGAACTACATTTATGTTAGCCTGCAGTTTTGGTACTGAAAGTGAACAGAGTTGCACCATCAGGCCAAGTTACTCCACAGCTAAGGAAAACTACCATGTGTGGCATGGTTTGCAGTTTCTGGCCTCTTTTTGAAGCGAAAGCTTGGCATAATCACAAGGATTATAAATTACTGATACTAGTTCTGGGAAGAAAGTGACTTAGCAGCCATCTGCTTTAATTCTTATCAGGAAAAGATCTGAAATCTTTCCTCTTTGCCCAGTAATAACAGGCAGGAGTTGTCTCTCCCCAGGTGGCTGAGGGAAAAGTCTGTGAATCAAGTGGCACTTGGCAGAAAACAGGAGTATTTAATGAGTGCTGTGAGCTGCACATACCAAGTCATTCCACTTGCTGATTCAAGGCTAATGTTATTTTTCTAGGATGGATTGCTTGGGTCTCTGGCTACCAGATTACCAGAAGAGGTGATTTGGCAGCAACAGCTACAGAGTTTTTTCTGCACACACATTCTGCTGAGTAAAAAGGTATAAACACTATTATGAGTTTTATAGTGAACCTATTTTAACAGGCTTTTGCTCAGTTCAAAAAGTGATTCTCCTTCACTGTTCCATTTTGCAGGGGTAAAACCACATGGAATGACATTATTTGGCAGTACACAGTCCCTCCAATCTTGCTCTGCAGTACTGACACAGTGCCAAAAGGACAGCAGCCAGCTCTTCTTTGTCAACAGTAAAGGGAACAACAAAACAGAAACACTGCTGTTGCTCAGATTCAAATCCTAGAATCACATTTATCTTTTAGCTGCTTTATAAACAATTCTGAGCAATTGTTTCTTCTTCTTCTTCTTCTTCTTCTTCTTCTTACCTGCGCCATAGGTTTCTGGTTCTTTCTGAACACAGTGGCCTTTTGTTTTGGAGTTTTGTTGTGTTCCAGCTTGCTGTTTTTTTCCTGTTATAACACAAACAAAAACCAGGAGATTTAATTCTGCGAGCCTTTTTACAAAAAAGCAAAGATTTTTTCTTTTTGCTAGGAAGCTGCTATTTAGTCTGCTGGATGTCTCAAAGCTACTAATTCAGAAATGTTCAACACTTTTTTTTTTTTTTAAAAGGAATTTCAAGATTATGTTCCCTGTTTGCTTTCAAAATGCACAGCTACTCACAGTTGCAGGCATTAGTTCCATGCAAATATTTATAATCTGTATGGTTGTTCATACACAAAACTCAGAGGATGGGAACTCTTCACACTGAAACATCCTCTGTTCACAGTATGGCTGAGCCAGTCTAATGACTTGTTGACAATCAAATGGACAGTCCCAATCCTCTACTCATTCCTCTTTTATTTAGACTAAGCAACTCTTATTGTTTCAGTATTTTCTCATGGGTTATGCTTTTTAGTCTCTTCTTCTCCCTGTTCTCTTCAGTTGGTCCACACACTTCCTGAACTGTAGTGCCCACTGCTGGAAACAGCACTCCAAGTGTGACCTTGCATTAGAGCAAAAGAATTACTTCACATCTCTGAATATTCCTGCTCAAACATCTCAGTATTAACACCTGCCTTTTAAAAACAAGTATGACACTGTTGGTCCCTATTCAGCTTTTGATCTGTTATAAATCTCAAATCCTCTTCTGAAGAACTGACACCTACGAGGCTGTTTTTGTCTTTCAGGTGTGCTAATATTTCTTCATAACTACAGTACCTTTAATTTTACACACTATATTCTGTTCTATTTTTTAAACTGTTTCTCTAACGTAGAGATCACTTTCAATTTTAGCCTTTTCTCCAACACACTTGCCAGATCTTTCAGCTTTGTGCCATCTACATACTTCCACGTCTTTGATGACAAAAACAATAGTTAGAATTGAACCTAGGATAGATTATGAACCATCATTCTATACTTTTTTCTGTTTCACAGAAATCATAGAAAGGTTGGAAGGGACATCCTGAGATCACCTAGTGCCACCCCTGTGTTCAAGTAGGGTCAGCTAGAGTAGGATGCCGAAGAATGTTTCCAGTCAAGTTCTGAGTATCTCCACTGATGGAAACTCCATAATCTCACTGGGCAACCTGTGCCAGGGTTTGAGTGCTCTCACAGTAAAAAAAAAGAGTATTCTTATCTTTAGACAGAATTTTGTGTGTTTTAATTCGTGTCCGTTGCTTCTGGTTCTGTCAGTGAGCACTACAGAGAAGAGACTAGCTCCCATTTCTTCATTCCCTCCCATCAAATATTTATATACACTGATAAGATTCCCCCTGAACCTTCACTTCTCCAGACTGAAGAGTCAGAGCTCTCTCAGCCTGTCCTCATAGGAAAGACATTCTAGTCCCTCAATCATCTTTGCAGCCCTGAACTAGAGTCTCTCCAGTGTATTGGGGAGCCCAGAAATGGACACAGTAGTCCAGATGTGGCCTCACCAGTGCTGAGCAGAAAGGATCACCTGCTTCGATCTCCTGGAAACGCTCATCCTAATGCAGCCCAGAATGCAGTTGGCTGCCTTTGCCACAAGAGTATGTTGCTGGCTCATGGTCAGCTTGCTGTCCTCCAGGACCCCAAGGTCCTGATCTGCAGAGCTGGTTTCTAGGAAGTTAACTCTGAGCATGTCCTGGTACATGGGGCTATTCCTGCCCAGCTGCAGGACTTCACATTTCTCCTTGATGAACCTCCAGAGATTCCTCTCTGCTTAACTCTCCATCTGGTCCAGGTCCCTGTGAATAGCAGCACACTCACCTGATATACCACCACTCATCCCACTTCTGTATCACCTGTGTACTTGCTGAGGTTGCACTTTCCCATTGTCCATGTCACTAATGAAGATGTTAAACAGTACTGGCCCCAGCATTTACCCCAAGGGTACACCACTAGTGATACGCCTCCAACTAGACTTTGTGCTGCTGATCACAACCCTCTGGGCCTAGATGTTCATCTGGTTTTCAATCCATTGCACTGTTTGTTTAGCTAACCTGTACTTTGTCAGCTTGTCTATAAAGATGTTGTGGGAAATAACACTGAAAGCCTTACTAAAGTTGAGGTGAACAACATCCACTGCTCTCCCCTCGTCCACCAAGCTAGTGACCTCATTGCAGAAGGCTAATCAGGTTGATTAAGCATGATTTGCCCTTCATAACCCATGCTGACTACTCCCAATCACCATCTTGTCCTTCATGTGTTTGGAAATGCTTCCTGGGAGGATTCTCTCCATCACCTTCCCAGGGACTGAGGTGAGGCTGATTGGCCTATAGTTCCCCAGATCTTCCTTCTTTCTGTCCTTGAAGATAGGAGTGGTATTTGCTCTCTTCCAGTCTTCAGGATCCTCTCCCAGTCGCCATGACCTTTCAAAGATAATCAAGAGTGGCCTCACAATGACATCAGCCAGCTCTCAGTGCAACCTCTCAGGCCCCACAGGACTTAGGTATGTTGAGTTTGTTTAAGTTCTCTAACCTCATCCTCCTTCACCAGGTGTAAGGCTTTCTTGCTCCAGACCTTCCCTTTGGTTTCAGGTGCCTGGGATTCCTGAAGGATTCCTTTAACTGATAAAGACTGAGGCACAGGAAGCATACCTTAGCCTTTTCCATGTCATTTGTCACCAGTTCCCCTGCCCTGTTCAGCTTGCACTCATGCTTTCCCTTGTCTTCCCTTTGCTGTTCATGTACTTGTAGAATCCTTTCTTGTTGCCTTTCACATTCCTTCCCAGATCCAACTCTACATTTGCCTTGCCTTTCCTAACCTCATCCTTGCAAGATTGGACAGCAAATGTATACTTCTTCTGTGTCATCTGCTCCTACTTTCACCACATGTACGCTTCCTTTTGCACCTAACCACTGATTAACAACCCTCTGAAGGCATGAAAGACCTACGATACCAAGCATTTCTGCTGTCCACCTCTATGGCAAAAGAAAATGAAACTAGTTGGGTATGATTTCTCCTTAACAAACCCATATTGCTGTTATCATCTAGTCATTAATCTCCAGATGTTTACAAGTAATTTGTCTGATTATTTAGTCCACAATCTTTTGGGAAACTGAAATGAAGCAGACTGGCCTACACTTGCCCTACTTCCTTTCCTCCCTCCCTTTGTTAGACTTTCTTAACAGAGACTGAAATTAGAACCATCATCTCCCACTGTTGAACAGAAACTAGTCAACAGTCTCCTATAACAAAACGCCCACAATCAGAAAGAGTTGGGAGACAGCAGAAGATGGCATTTGGGAAGAGAGGAAGTCTGAAGTATCTGGAGGTTTGTAACTAGGAATTACAAGTTATCTGTATTACCCGAAATCTTCTGCTTCTTCTTGGGAGAGTCTTTAAGATCTTCACCTTCCCCTTGCTCAGATTTCCTCTTGCCTTTCAATGGAACTTCTCCTGCTAATGAGTAAGAACAGAAATGCTTCAGTCTCATTATTCATTCTGCACAACAGTTTTGAGGCTGCTGCTGCTCAGCTTATCCTCACGTTCAATACTTTTTTAAAAAAAAAAGTATTCGTAAGGGATGTAGACACCAGTGAGCCAGACACAGCCTTTTGTCTCAGAAACATTTAGGTACTCCACAGCCTGCAATTCTCCAGCAAAACAGATACGTTAAGAAATAGTGCCACAGCATGGTCTGGGAAAATAATACTCCTCAGGCAGAGAGCCAGAAGGTGTTAGGTTATGTCATAAAAAGCTCATCTGCACATACACAAAAAGGAGCACAGAGAAACAATGGCAGGTAGGGAAACCCAAATATCCTGCCTTCCCTCACTATTTCCAGGCCTATCAAAGGCTTATCTCCATGAACACAGAGAAGTAAAGAAGCACAATGGCAGACAGGGGAACACAAATTATGGACTGAAAGAAACAGACACCTTCCTCCCAGGTCTGTCCCAGGAGACCCACCAGGATGAGTCAATGGGAAGCACTCTCTGGAGCACCCTTTGGAAAGGGGAAGTGGGCGAGCGGTGAGATGGTTGAGTTAATGTCTGGGGTTATGTGACGCATGGGATGCCAGCGAAGAACAATTATGCAAGACTGTGAGGTTTAGGAGATGCATCAAAGGAAGGGAAAGGGAGAGAATTAGCTGATTTGGGGAAGATCAGGTGTGGGAAAACAGAGGTATAAGAGGATAAAAAGGGCCACTTGCTTGTGAACAGGTGGTTGATCAGTCTACAAATCTGGACACCAAATCAGAGCGACCCGGGGAGAGCAGTGTCTGTGAGTGTCAGTCTGTCTGTAAGGAGGTCTACACCAGCGACCACCATGGCTCTGCAGGCCTCAGGAGCTAGTACATCCACGTACCAGCAATTGAGGAGACTGGGATCCAAAGGCCAGATCCCAAATAGGCTGTGCTTAAGTCCAGCTGGAGGAGAGATCCAAACTGCACATATGTGCGCACACACAAATGTACACAAAACACATATATGTACTTCTTTTATACACACTTTTTATAGATGCTTCTTTTTTCTCACTAATATATCTTTATCCTGATCAGGCAGAGAGCGAAACAGGATGGAGGCTACTGGTGTTGTTTGTGTGAGCGGTGAATGTTCCTCCTCGTGTTGATCTGTGTGGTTGGCTGTGTATACGTGTTGTATATGTGTGTTTATACCTACAGGAATACACGGTTAGTCTCACTACTGGTTGGACCTGGGGGCGTGGACCTGCAGCAACCTTGCTTCTATCAAGTTACCAGATTTGGCTTTCCCCACAACAGGATGGAATACAGATTCTGACTTAAAGAAGAAAGTGCATTAAAGAAGGGCAAAGTTTTGGTTCCCTGCCACAACAGTTTGGAAAACAGCTCCCAGGCCAGGAAATATGAATGCTCCTAGAACAACATAAGACCCAGACCACTCCAAATCAGAAACTCATAAGTGACAAAAGCTAGAAAATAAAAATAAAAACACATTCTTAAAAAAAAAAATCTACCAACCACAAAAGCTATGTCTAATCCAGAATACTGCTGAATGGTCCCCTTTTCTACAACTTTACTGTTGCTTGTTCTATTTTTAAAGCTCTCAAAGCATATTCCTGATATGATTGGCAGAACCCTTATACATATCTCTTCTATAGATAAAACTGAGTCACAGAATCATTAATTTTAATAGACAAGTCACTCAAAAAGAACTGTGTAACATCAGAGAATTTTACCTGTGTTTCTGCAGCGGAGGAATACATGAGCAGCATTACCAAGTTTGTAATTTGTGGCTGAACTGCAGCAAGTTTCAGAAGTCATCTAATCTCTCATAAAAGAAACAGAGAGAATAACAGTTTTGCACTGAGCCAAGAGTGAGGATTACCTTTTTTTTCTGAAGATTTGTTAACGTTGTTTTTTATTCCCCTCATTTCCAACCAGTAAGCAGGCCTGCGGATGGTCCGCTTGCTTCTGGACTCTGTGCTTCCGTTCACTTGACTCTTCGGTGAGGCAGAAGAAATACTGCTGACTGCCTCACCATAGTTACTGTTCAGTCCTAGGACAGTAGTTTCCGCCTCCTCAAATCGCTTAGACCTGGAAAACATCAGCTTGAAATCCTGTGCATATGTACACATACATACACGCACAACCACAATAACCTGACAGACAACATCCCTTTCATCTCCCCAAGTACTCTCAAAACTCATCTCAGAGTTCACTGATCTGCTCAGTTCTGTGAACTAAAACATGCCAGTGAGATAAAACATCCTAAATGTTATTTTTCAGTACGTCTTTTAGAAAACAACATTAGAAAGTTACTCAAGAGGAACAGGAAAAAAATATTAATCCCACCTCAAACCTTCAATTTAAGAAGCAGGTACAAGTTAATCTCAATTTAAAAATATACATTTATCCTTAAGCAACCAATGTGGAATATAAGAATTCTTCTCATTACAAGACACCTTTCCCATACCACAAAGGCCAAGATCCCCTTCAGTATACAATCCCAGAGTCAGACCTGATACAATTAAAAGACTTAATGCTAGTAAGAATTTTAACCAGTAAGGCTTTCAGCAATGAAGACAGCCTTACAGTATATCCTACAAATCACACTACATTAAGAGATGCTGCAGTGCATCCAAAGAGGGCAACGAAGCTGGTGAAGGGCCTGGAGAATAAGTCTTATGAGGAGCGGCCAAAGAAACTGGGGTTGTTGAGCCTGGAGAAAAGGAGGTTGAGGGGAGGAATCCTTCTGGCTCTGTCCAAGTCCCTTGGAGGAGGGTGGAGAGAGGTGTCAGTCTCTCCTCCCTAGTACCACGCAACAGGACAAGAGGAAACGGCCTCAAGTTGTACCAGGGGAGGTTTAGATTGGATATCAGGAAAAATTTACTTCCTGAAAGGGTTGTCAGGTATTGGAACAGGCTGCCCAGGGAAGTGGTTGCGTCACCATAACTGGAGTTGTTACAACTGGAGGTGGTGGAGTGGACAAGTAGATGTGGTGCTTAGGGACACGGTTTAGTGGTAGACTTGGACATGTTAGTTGTATGGTTGGACTTGATTATCTTAAAGGACTTTTCCAACCAAAACTATTCTATCATTCTAAGACTAATTTAGACTAGCCAGCAGCACTGATTTTTCTTCCTAGAGATCAGAGGGAACTTTTGCTTCACTATTCTTTAATATTTCTCACAGCCCCAAAATGCCTGGACATTTACATTGCTGCACATTTAATTATTATTAATTAAAACAGCAAAATTATTAGGTGTCACAGAAACACAGAGGAGTATCTGTTCTCTGGGCAAATACCATCAATGTAAGAGGAAAGAACAGGAAACAGAAACACTTTTCAACATATCTCATTGTTACCACGATTCACAAACTGAAGTTGATCGCTTGAATGATGACAGTGACGGCCACCCCAGCAATACTCGCCCACTCTGAGCCGTGGAGCTCACATGTTTTAACACATCAATCCAGAAATTAGTAACTGGGGACATGGATGGTACCAGGTCAGATCAGTTTATACTATTAGTTTAAGGAGGTACTGCAGAAGGATGGGGAGAGGAATCCTCAAATTATAGCCTTTCATTTGCAATCACACTGAAAACACATAGATTTTGGAACACTAGTCTTGAACATAAAATACTTATCTTCCCAGTGTTAAAATCCTTTTAAAAACAATAAATGAAAGCTAATACCCCTCGAAGTGTAAGAAAAGTGCTTTTCCTACAAATCAATAAGCAAAGGCAGCTGAGACTCTCATCACACAAACCAAAATTGTTGCAGCTCTTAAAATTCAGAATATTATGTAAAGACCACATATGGTTTTCCAATAGGAATCTCTCAGCTTTTATCTTGCCCTCAGTCAAACTAGGCAAGAAACATTCACCTACTTCTTGCTTCCCAGAGACCTCTTGACCTTCTGTTGTCTGTGATGTCCAGGCTTGGTGTCCTAACAAAGTAGAACAATTCACATTAGCAGCATAATTTTTCTTCTTTTTGCATGTTTCACTTTTCAGTTAAACACAATCACCTGCACTCTGAGGATGTGCATACCATCCTTTGAAAAGGAAACTACTGTTCTCTGCAACAAGGAAGTGTCATCTTTTCAACTCCAGCTGAATTAGAACTGGAATCAAAATAGGGATGAGCCCCTCTACACTCCCTCATAAAAGCAAGTCATTCCCCTCAGACTGGAGCATGATTAAGTGTTCTTTGCTTCCAATTCACTCAGCAGTACCTGCTTTCTGCCTAGACTTTATCACACAATGACAAATATTTTAGATCCTAACTTACATAATACTTATTTTTTCCTTAATGAAATAATTCTTGCATTCAACATGCCAAGAATGTTCTCTCTAGTCTCTTTTATGCCCTCTTTTCATTTTTTATCTCACTTATTCTGTCATACTCCATCATCTGCCCAGATGTTTGCTTTATCCATATCGCAGAATCCTTCTTCTTATTTAACAAAGACTTTTTGTCACTTATTGCTTGTTGCTTCTTATGCTCCTATCAAGACAGGTAATTTAACTGATACCATTGACATTATCAAGTCAGTATAAACAACCAATTTAGTCAGTTTAAACAACCAACCAGGTACGTTGTTCCTGGCATGCAGACAATCATTTATCACCTTCTTCCAAATAGCAATAATGACTCAGTGTTGTTCTTTACTGGGAAACCCAGGACAAAAATCTTGGTCATACAGACTAGAAAAAAAAATCATTGCCCAGTAGAAGTGTATGAAATACCAAAACTGTAACCTAGGAACAAAGATAGTATTTTGACACATACAGGAACTGGCTAAGAAACTGGGGTGGGGTTGGGGGAAGAAAGAATATGGATAAATTACCTATCTGCTTTACAGAAAAATGTAATGCACATTATCAACTGGACCATGCTATGAAGTGTTTTAGTTATTAGACATAAATGATACACATTACCGGGGGAAAACAGCGAATGGGGATATGACAAAATTCAAATAAGTCATAAAAATTGTCAAGAGGAGATGCTGAGAAAACTTCAGATGCTATATCGAAACTAGGGAATAGGGTTCTTCAAGGCAAATTAAATTTACCACTAAAAAAATGCACTGGAAAAAGATTAACTTCAATTTGTATTTTATGCTCTTGCTTTCTAATTTATGCATTGGAACAAGCAGTAGTTCACTCTTTGCAGGACCACAGTCAGCAACAGACATGCTAATGACCAGGTGAGAAATTCAGTAGTGGGCACTGACATCAGCTAGATGAATCCTTAAACTTTGGACTTATGGACTGTCAGACCCTCCATGGGCCTCCAGCCCCAGCATCTCCTCTCATGGAAAGATTAGGGAAGCAGGAGGAGAGAAATTCACAACTGCTTGATCAATGACTTCACAATCATATCCTGTCTTCTTTGAAGAAAAGTCAATTGAATGTTTCTGTTTGTATTACTGTGATATGGTTTACAAGTACCTAGCAGTGCCAATAGCAGTGTTTGGGAAACCCCTACATCAGAAACGTGGAGAAACCTCACTGAGGAGCAGCTAGAAAAAATTAGGCCTGCGAAGTTATACTGATAAAAATGACCAATCTGCTGCAATTGCTGGCCTAATCTACCATGAGAAGAACCTGGCGCATGTTGACAAACATGGCACATCTTTAAGATTTTTTTTGTTTTTTTTAGAACTAAAAAATTTTGCATAAAAGTGAAGATTAGGATGAAGAATTTAGGTCCAACTTAAGGATCTAAAATAAAAAAGATGATCTGTCTAGTCTTCCTTTCTGAGAATTTGATAGCGGTGATTATGAAGGAAATATCTAGACAAATTGGTTTTTAAGTTTTACAGAATCACAGACTGGTGGGGTTGGA